TATGGTTAATTTTTGCAAATATATATTTTACCCCTAGGTACATGGGTGTAAATTCCTTTTAAGAGTTTATTGAATGCTATAAAAGCCCAAGTTGGAATTGATAGTACTTCCAAGTTTCCAATTTAATACTCTTTAACCATTTAGAGGTCATACATCTCTTTTTCTGTATTAAGGTGAAATGTATTTGATAAGATATGATATTTAAATATTTTTGGTGTTAGCGTAATTAGATTTATTTCTTGACCAAGCAAGCAATTCTTTTCAAAACTGTTTCAGTGCAAACTCCAGTGAAAAGTACAGACTGATGCTGGATAATGGCATTTCGAATTTTGTTTTCTTTTAATTGGTTGAGCTCATTAGTGGAGTTGAGGTTGTAATCATGTTAATGGGTTCTCCTTAAAACTTTGCATACTTTGATTCTATTCAATAAAAACAGAAGAGTGTGTTTCAAATTAATTCCTAAATGATCTGAAAAGATCTGTTAAGGATTTGAAAATGAATAAATGTCTTGGTAACCTGGAGACTGGTCTCATTTGTGAGGCTGTCATTTGAACAGAATTGTTCATTTTTGATGAGGTGTAAAAGAAAATAGTGGTCTGACCTTATATTGTTCTAGTACATTCTTTCAAGGAGACATTTAAGAATGAATATCAGAGTCTGAATTTCCCTTCTTTGATGAATTAAAATGAAAATAACTAGGTCAGTTGTTCGTATTAATAGAATAAGATAATATAGAATTAAATGAATAGAAATTAATAGAAATTTGTGAGGGTTATTACATCAAAGTACTTCCAGTAGCACGCAAATTAATGAGAGCTCTTATTGACTTTTTCATCATAAAATTCAGAATAAAGGGAAACAGATCAATATTGTTGTAGATGCAGCATTTAGTATTAACTTCATTAGGATTTATTCTTTGAGTACCCACAAATGTACCTGACACGATATATTTATGCTACACTCTTCAGGATTCTTTTTGAAATAATGTTTAATTATATCATCCTGGGTTAGAGTCTCTCTGGACTCGATTAATGTGTCATGATGGAATTGCTTTAAACCCCTCTAAAAGCTTTTTGTTTGTTTGTTTCTGTTTATAATTTATATGGAAATAGAGTGAAATGACGGAAATGTTTAATTATTTTTTGTGTTGTTAAATGAGTGGCTTTTTTTTTTAAAAAAGTTCTTGAAATAAAGGAGACAGTGACATATCCATGCAATGGAATGCGATGCAACAATTTAAGACTATGCTTTAGAAGAATATTTAATGACCTTAAGGCATAATCAAATGCAAAAAGCAGAATGCAAAACTGTATATAGCGTGATACCAGTATCTTTAGATTGTTAGATCAGTAGACATAGTATATAGGAAAGAATGAGAACAAAATGCCCTAATGGCAGTTTTATCTGAGTGGGACTGGGAGTGATTTATTTCCTTTTTTGTATTATGTGTGGTTTTTTTCAAAATAGTTAATAACAAACGGTTTCTGATTATACAAGCAATGAATATTAGTAAAATAAATAGAAAGTAAAGGGCAGGAGAAAACTCATTCAAAATTTGAAAAAATATTTAAAATTATTTATTTCTAAGACCCCACATTGGATGTATTTATCCTGATCCCTTTATTGTTTGAAAAGGAACTAAGGGAGGGGCGCCAGGGTGGCTTGGTCAGTTGAGCTTCTGACTCTTGATTGCAGCTCTGGTCATGATCTCAGAGTCCTGGGATTGAGCCCCTTGTTGGGCTCTGTCCTCAGTGGGTAGTCTGCTAGAGATTCTCTCTCCCTCTTCCTCTTCACCTCCCTGCCACTTGTGCACGCTCTCTCTCTCTCAAATAAATAAATAAATTTTAAAAAAAGAAAGAAAATGAACTAAAGGAGGTGCGTTTGAAGGATGGACATGTATTAAGCAGGACTTTGGGGCCCTCAGTTGGTTGAGCATCTGACTCTTGATTTCTGCTTGGGCCATTGTCTCAGGGTCCTGGGATCAAGCCCTGTGTCAGGCTCCATGCTCAGTGCTGAGTCTGCTTGAGATTTTCTCTCCTCTTTCCCCACTCTCTCTAAATAAATAAATAAATAAAATCTTAAAAAAAACAAAGCAAAACAGGACTTAGTATGGGTGATAGTTTGATATCTCGGAGTCTGACCCCTGGATCAAAAGCATCAGTGTCCCCTGGGAGCTTGTTAGGAATGCACATTCTTGGCCCCACCCCAGACCAATTCAAGCATTCAACCAAAACGTTTGGAAATGGGGTCCCACAACATGTGTTTTCACAAGCCCTCTGGGTGATTTCGATGCAGGCTGAAGTTTGAGGAATGCTGCTTTAGTGTTTTGAGGTCAGAGATGGCTAGAAAAATTTCTCAAAAATTTTATCCTAGGGACGCCTGTGGGCTTAGTCAGTTAAGCATCTGCCTTCGGCTCAGGTCATGATCTCAGGGTCCTGCGATCGAGCCCTGCATCAGGCTCCCTGGGAGCCTACTTCTCTCTCTGCCTGCTGTTCCCCCTGCTTGTGCTCTCTCTCTGTCAAATAAATAAATAAATAAAATCTTTAAAATGATTTTTAGCCCAGATAATTTTCGTCTCATATTTACCTTCTCTCTTTCTCATGTCTTCCTCTCCTTCTCTACCTCTGTCTCTCTATCACTCTGCTTCTCTCTTACACATATAGTTTTTGTGGTCTGTTTTCCTTTTACTCTTTTATATTTTAGAAAGGGAGAGAGAGAGGGTGGGGGAGGGGCAGAGAAAGAGAAAGAGAGAGAGAGGGAATCTCAAGCAGACTCCAGGCCCAGTGCAGAGCCCGACACAGGGCTTGATCTCACCACCCTGAGATCATGACCTGAGCTGAAATCAAGAGTCAGATGCTTAACTGACTGAGCCCCCCTGGTGTCCCCGTATGTTTTTTTATCTACTCATATCTTTACCTTGTTTCCCCAAAATATTTGAGGCAGCTCCCAGAGGTTCATATACAACAGCAGATGCTCATCCCATGCTGTCTGTTCAGATACTGTTTTAAGAACTTTACATATAGTATCTCATTTAACTTAATCATCAGTCACAATGCTATGAGGCAGTTATTATTATTTCATGATTATCCTCTCCATCTGACCGACAAGGAATCTGAAGCTCAAAGGCTAAATAACTTGCCCAAGGGCATACAACCACTAAGTGAAAGAATCCAAGCAATCTGGTCCCAAAGTCCGTGCCCTCAACCAGGTTCCTATGCTGCTTCTGAAAAATAAAATTAATGAGGAACTAGGGATGAATGGGAAATAAAGGGGCAGGATGAATGCACAGTCTTTCCTGCAGAGGTTGATATAGTCGGTAAACACGGCGCGCCGATTTGCCTCTGGCTCAAGCAGAGAGTGAACGAGGAGAAGCTGCAAGATTCACAATCACCAAAATATGGAAGCAAACTAATTCTCAGGAAGACCACACCTGAGTCTCGAAACACCTTCATGTCACCCTACATGCTCAGAAGTGTGCCCTTGTGATTTTCATTTCATTCATTCACTTTGTTTACACAGTCATTATTTCTTGGGCACCTTCTATCTGTTTGGCCCTGTGCTGGTTGCTTAGGATGGAAAGAATAAAACGTATCCCCTGTTTTAAAGATCCCGGCGGCCTAGGGCAAAGAACAGTGGTTCACAAGTGTCTCACTTGGGCTTTCCCCCACTTCCTTCCTGGGTGTGGAGTAAGAGAAGCGCACAGAGAGAGTCAGCAAGGGACTTGGAACCAACTTCTCTTGGGAGGGGACACCTGAGGGAAGTCAGAAGACACAGCCTCTAGAAGGAAACAAGCATCTGAGCTGATCGTGCCTGGTCACAGAAGCACCTTCATTCCTTGACAACACCTTTCTCTAGAATCTGTAATCTGAGCCTATCCCTGGACAAACTGGACCCTGAGCTTGGGGAGGTTCCTTGGTTCTTTGGAGACGATGTGACTGTGGGGATAAAAGGCAGGGGGTGGTGGGAGAAGCAAAGCCAGCTGGTTTCCACAAAGCTGTGAAGTGTGTGTGTGTGTGTGTGTGTGTGCACGCGCGTGTGCGTGTACACACATATATGCATCTCATCACTAAGGGAATTTCTCCTGGCTGTCTGGTCAATGATCACTTTTTCCCCTCCTGCAAATAATCGCTAAAACCTTCAGAAACACTTTTAAAAATTAAAATTAAAATTTGTTCTTCTTTTCCCCATCCAGATTTATCTAATAAATAGAATGTAGGCAAAAATATTTGTTCTGGGGGCCATGGGTGCTGCCTAGGGACCATGGCCCCATCTTCTGCCCCCTGTGGCCATGAACCCCTGGGGACAGGGATGTCTCAAAATACAACACTTGGCCTTAAAGATAAGGACAAAAGTGACTGGACCTCCAGCCACTGTTTCTAAGTGAAAATCGTATCAAGAGTATGAATGTTGGTTATGACTGTGTTCGATCTTTCGAAATGAACCATGTCAGTTACATGACCCAAGATGCTGGCATCTGATGGATCTAATTTCTGATCAAAGTGTGGAACTCATCCTCATCTGCCAGGGGCATCTCTCCTGAAGCCATCATAGTAAAGGTCTTAGAGCAAGACACGGTGGGAGAAGCAAGAGGATACAGAGTTTGAGTGCATAGACCTTGCATAGAGTTTGGAAGGTGGTAATAATAATGGGAGACAGAGAATAATTATTGAGCCACTCTTGTCATTTTTAATTTGCACTCATGGACCTCATAGTGCTCTTTGTAAGATCTCCAGATCTTCTGGACTGCTTTTGATGAGAAAGAGGGAGAGTGAACTTGTTGAGAAGTCTCGATACAGCGCCTGCATTATTTAGCAGGTTCTAACATACTTAGCGGGAGTCAAAGGCTCTGTTGAGGAATGAGCAAGATTTCCCTCCGAGGACAGCCCTTCGCTGGCAGTGGTGAAAGTAACTTTCCTAAAGGGTTTTGAAAAGCTGTCCAATCCTGAGTTTCCGAAGTGGAAGCTCCTTCTCACTTTTCTTTTCCTTCTTTTTCTTGACAGTCCCAGCAGAAGTGCATCGTGATCTTCGCCCTGGTATGCTGTTTTGCCATTCTCGTGGCGTTGATATTTTCTGCCGTGGACATCATGGGAGAGGATGAAGATGGACTCTCAGAAAAAAATTGTCAAAATAAATGTCGGTAAGAGGTAACAAACAAAACTTCTCTTTTAGGGGGTGGGCAGAAAAGCAAAGAGAGCACTAGACAGTAGGGAGAAAAATATCCCAAGTACACGAGATCCTCCAACCTCCCTGTGGGTTAAGCTGTTACTTTGCAGACCGAGGGAATAAAAGTGAGGGAATAAAGCTCTTACTTTGCCGAGGGAATAAAAATGTGCAATGATTTCATTCAATGACAGTTCTTTACAATTGGGGCATATCCTGTACAGAGGGCTGGTGGACAGAGTGAAATTTTGTGCAGAGACCCCTCTCTATTAATGAGGTTTTGGTTTGTCCCGTGATGAGCCTGCCAAAAATGAGTGCCCCAAATGGACAAAGGACACTGTGCTAGTTGTCACATCAAGTGGAAGTTAAAGAAGCACACATCTCAGGAAAAATTCCAACTTAAGACTCAGGGTGAAATAGATCAGCGTGTCTATAAGAAGACACGTGCGTCCTCTGTCACAATGTCGCACATAGTTTGTTATTAATCTAGAAATAGATTACATTAGATTTACGTATTATGTCTCTTCCGTTACCTTAAGTAATGTCTCCTTGGGGATATTCCTTTTTATTTTTTATTTCTTATTTTTTTTAGGTCGTGGAGAGGGTGTAGGCAAGCACCAAGTCAGGGGGCAGGTCGATAAGAAGTCTATTTTTATTACACGTTGTGGCCAAGCTGAAGTCAGGGCACACAACCACCATAGTTCTTATGAATTAGAGCTTACAATGAATTTTCGTTGTAGTTTTTCCCCGTGGCAAGCTTTAGTCTAAGTGCCCCTCTTTTCCAGCTTAAGATCAACAACAACTTGGTAATGTGTATGTGGGTTTTTATCTTGGAGACTTTGCCTTGAGGGTTGAATGCGTGGCACAAAAACATGTCTGGAAAAGACCACTGAAGTTTGTTTTTCAGCCCATGGTACATTATAGTCTAGTTACCAGAGAACAGTATTAGACAAGGAACAAAGGATACAGAGAGAAAGTAGCATACATTTTAGATTTATTCTAACATGTTTGGAAGGGGTTCCTACGTATATTTACTTCCTAGACTGAATTTGGGAGAAGAATTGTGTTGGGGTTATCAGTAAGGCAATAGAACAATAGCAGATTGCCACCATCTTCCTCCTGAATGCTCCTTCTGCATCAGTACTTTCCGAGAATCCTATGACACGACAGATAGAAACATCCGTGGTCAGGGGGTCCGTGACTCATCTTATTCCGTGGGTTGGCTGTGCCCCTTCTCACCTCACTTCGTGATGAGGTCGGCTGAGTACTTGAAATGGCAGACCCCAGCACCTAGGAAGCCGCTTTATAAAGGTCAAACTGTAACAACTTCTAAGACAAAATACTCAGGACCTTTTAAGACACATTAGCAGGTTCTTTATAGGTTTCAACAACCAAAAAGAGGGAACCTTAGAACTATTCCTATTTTCACTTGAGAGAAGCTGTAATTTCATCCAATTTTGACTTTAAGCTCATACAGCTGGAATCTGGGTCTGCTTATTTCTCCATCTCAATCAATTGTTAAATCCCAGTGACTCAACACTGCTTCTCCCTCGAATCTGGAACACATTCTTCCAGTTACCCACCATTCCCCGCCTGCCTTTCCCCTGGGGAGTCGGCATCACTGCCTGGTTACTGGGCTCCCCCTCCACGCAGCCATGTTTTCTAGAACCTGCATTCCCTCCAGTCTCCGTCTCTTCCCCTGTGCCCTGTGTATGTCCTCTTGCATTCTCAGCCACGCCATAGGCACCGACTGTCCTTCGGCCACCCCTAACCTCATCCCGAAGACCTTTTGCTTTGTCTCCTCTCCCCGGCACACAGGATGAAGGTGGGGTGCTGGCCATTCCTCGTGCCCCGTCCAGCCCCAGTCTCCAGTCAGACAGCCCACTGCCCCTCTCCCGATAGTTCTCATTTTAATTTGATGGAACTTTCTTGCATTGTCCACTCACACCATGTTATGGGCAACATCACCTGCTAATTCTGGGACTCTTTCCCACCCTCTTTTGTCCCTGGCTGACAACCCCCGACCTTCAGTTCCATCCCTTGCCATCCTGCTTAGCAACTACAGTGTACTTCCCAACACCCTGGCCGACTGTTCTGACCACCTCAAGTCAATGAATTTAATGTCCATTGTACTATTGCACTTCCAAGGAAGCCTAATGTGGTGAACCGCCATAGACTTTGAAATCAGCAAGATCTGGATTCAAATCTGCATTATACCACTTACTGACTCTGTAAATTTGGACAAGGTATTCATTTCATCATTTCATTCAATGCCTATTTACAGAGCATGGCAGCACACAAGGATGAGCCACAGAGCAGTTAATAATGGGACAGATTGTAAGGATACAGTAACTATTACATGGAACATACAACCATTGATGTTCTTGGTAAGGCTTCTGCTTAACAGTAGCCTGTGAGTACTGAAGTTTTTGGGGGTAGAGGTCAAAAGTGATAGGCGGAATTTTGACTGACACAGGGTTCAGTGCCCCTAACCCCCACGTTGTTCAAGGGCATGTGTGCATTGCTTTAGTTCATCTTAACTCTACTGAATAGCCGAGATGCCTTTCTAGCCTCTGATAGATTACTACTTGGAATCATATTGCCCACTCAGTGTTTCCTGAACTTCTATGTCTGAAAAAAATTTATCTTCTCTGTGAAAATATCCTATTTGTATTTTTTCTGACATCGTGTTTTATTTTCCCCTTTTTGTTATTTTGCTGCTAAAATACTCTACCAATGGTAGGGCAGTGATGCTCCCGATTGTCGTAATTTTCCACATGAATCTGTGAATTAACAGCTGCTCTTATCTTCCCAAGTGCCTTTTAACTAACCTTATTACACCAGGAGACCAGATCTTTGACCTCAGTAAATGACTTTGACCTATTTCTTTGCCTCCTTGTACCGAATATCAGGGTAGTTTCCATCATTTTTCCGTGTGTTTAATTTGCTGGTTCAGTCTCTATAAATACCAATCTCCATGTCACTTGACTTATTGAAGGGGGTGAAGGGCAAATTTTCTAGTTTCGGCTGGAAAACTGCATCTCAGTGAGCTCGGGGGCATCACTGCATAGTTAAGAACGGCTTCACCTGCCGGTGGAGATCACATCTATCCTGTGGCGTAGCTATTTTATGATTCACTGCTGCCTCCAGTTATCATTTTATACTATTCTTGCGAGAGGTAAGGGCACTGTGTGGTTTCGCACATATCACATCCCCAGGGACTAGTAGGGACACTGGAACTTACGTCCAGGTGTCCTTCGCCTGCGGAGCACCTGCTCACGTGTGCACGGGCTGCCCTTTCAAGTGAGGGGACAGGCCTCCATTTTGTATTTTGTATCTCTCTCAGCTCTCATCCATTGTTGTGGGTCGTTTCTTCCCCGTTTAGTAGAGCACCGTTACACACTTACTGGAAGAGGGTTTCTTTTTAGCACACCTCAGTGATAAATGTCTGTAGATCCAGTCCATACCCTGCTGCTCCTGCATCTCAGGCCCAATGGCTATAAACAATATGGCAGCTAATTTCTGCAAACTATCATTAAACAAGCTACAGAAACATAAAATTTGGGGTGGGTCAGCATCATCTTCTAACCCTGTCGATGGACACTGATCTGTCACAGTAGTTAAGACAGCTGCTCCTGGACCTCCTCACACTTGTCCCTCATCCTCTTTAATCAGCCCCATGTCTGTGAGGCTCCCGTCCTGGTTGGGCTCACTCTTGCTCACATATTTGCGTATCCATTTTAGCTTATTATGCCTCCTTGGCTTAAAGCTTGAGGGAATAGACCAACGAAGTCTACGTACATGATTCCCACTGTCCTGACCGCAGGGATTTTCTTTCATTCTAAAGTGGATAGACTTGAGTCTGCGCAGAATGGGACCCATGACATATTTGAGCCTGGGCAACCAATGTATAAATTACCATAGTGGTCCTAGACCACCACAGAAAGTATAGCAAGATCCAGACTCACTTTGTAATATAGCACCCCTCTACATGTACACTTCACATCTGCTTTCTAATTTTTCGATTTCTCTACTAAAAAGCTGACTTCTAGGGGCTCCTGGGCGGCTCAGTCAGTTAAGTGTCTAACTCTTGATTTCAGCTCAGGTCATGATTTCAGAGTCATGAGATCGAGCCCTGCATCGGGCTGCTCGCTGGGCATGGATCCTGCTTGGGATTCTCTCTTTCCCTCTCCCTCTGCCCCTCCCCTGCTCATGCTCACACACACTCTCTCTCTCTCTCAAAAAAATTTTTTTTGACTTCTCTGTAGTTTTCCATATAGTTTTTTTTTATGAATTTCTTCTTCTAATCCATTATTTTCTTATTTAAAATTTTAAACAATATCTAGGGACGCCTGGGTGGCTCAGTTGGTTAAGTCTACCTTCGGCTCAGGTCATGATCCCAGGGTCCTGGGATTAAGTCCTGCATCGGGCTCCCTGCTCAGCAGGGAGCCTGCATCTCCCTCTCCCTCTGCCTGCAGCTCCCCCTGCTTACTCTCTCTCTCTGTGTCAAATAAATAAAATCTTTAAAAAAATAAAATGATAAACAATATCTATAGTTATATCTATATTAATAACCCAATTCAAGTGTAGGGCATCCATAATTTAGTCCATCAATATGTAACATTTCTAGAAAATAGCATTGAGAGACCCCTGTGCAATGACAATCACCTCCTAGTGTTTTGTTCTTTCTCTTTGAATCTCATGACCTTAGAGCTGTCTTCGCAGAATCAACTTGCTCCAATGGACTTTAATCATTATTTTCCCTTTTAATGCCCAAATTGTCACTACTTGGCCAGTGGGAGCTGTCTTTTGTATTTTTTGACACTATTCCAGATATCTCTGAGAGCAACCTTGCTTTCTGGCAACAGCAAGCTGTTCTGGCCTCGTTTTGAATTTCCTTGCTCTGGGACACGGTCTTATCTACTCTCCAATGAACTCTGGTTCCTTTTCACGAAGAATTCTATTAAAAAACAGAAT